AGTATGAATGTAAGTTATGGGTATGTTTCGGTGGAAATTTGTATTTCGGTAAGTACATAATCATCGTGGCTCAAAATAGCGTTCACATGCTGTTTTTTTTAATACCAAATATTAGCCCAGGCCACGGGGTTTTTTTGGTGGAACTATTTCGGACCATGCAACTTTTTTCATCGGATTCTATGAACAGTCAACATGAAATCGATATTTTTCGTTCGGAAAACTCTGGTTCTCCTCAGGAGATTTTCAATAATAATACCCAATTGTTTATTTAACCATTTTTTAATCCTAACGATTTTTTATTGGTCGTCCTATTGCATTTTTCGGGGTTTTTGTGGGTTTTTAATTATAGTTGCGATAAAAAAATTGTCAATGGGTATTATTATTGGGAAATCTATTGCAGATAAACAGAGTTTTCTGGTATAAAAATATTGATTTTTAACTATTCTATACCATTTCTTCGAAAAGTTATTTTTTCCCCATATAAAATACATGCAAAACTTTGGGCGCGGTTTGAGCGGCCTCTAAATATTTTTTGATTTCAATATCAGAAAATAGGGGTATAATTTTTTCGGTATAGAATAATCCTAGGGGGTGAGAGCATAAAAATTCCGACTTTACTTTTTCACATGCATTTTTGGGCCATGCTAATGTAGATACGTAAGTGTGCAACGCAACTTTGTACGTTTAGGATGCGTTATCATTTTATATTTGGGTTTTGTAAAAGGTAATGGACTGTTGGTTATTTAATTTACATTGATCATACACAGAGAGACTTGCAAGAGATAATTTAGATTTTTGAAGAGGTGATATTAATGAGAATGTCTTCTGAGTGTTGCTGGTAGGGTCCGCGATCGCAACAAGCTCGAATACTTCTTGCAGAGTGGCATCAAATTTCCGTTGACGAGGTATAATTTTTGTAAACCGAATGGAGGCAGAATGCCTTATGAAGTGCTTAGCAGCTCTTGTGCTGTAATAGACATACCGTAAGTAAGCTGTACTTATTTCAACGGCTGATGTGTTCTGCTCATAATAGTGGGGTTGCTTTTAGAATTTCTCTCGCTGAAATCTACGACGGATGTATGGAATGGCCTTTATTTTGCGCTGTTTCTTGTTAGCGAAATTTGTTTGAGCCTGCTTTTCCTAGAGGTTAGTGCGAAATTTGTTTGTCCTTTGCTGTTGATGTTGGGTGATAGGGTTTCTGAGAGGAGCTGGGATTGGAGTGTTTATCCATTGGCGGTGGCCACCCTACCGGGCCGAACTGTTCGTCCATTGGGGCTGGATGCGATTGCCTGATGGCTGATTTCAAGGAATCATTGGGAGATTCATTTTCCTGAGTGGTCAGAGATGATGTTTTCGCTTCCCCGTTAAGAGTGTTCTGCGGAGTAGAACATGAAGAGAGTGAATTATTTGTTTTTTCCTTGGAGGCAGACACTTGTGGGGTGGAATGTTTGGAGTACTCAATAATGTCTGATATGGTGAGGGGTATTGGGTATTGAGTGATATCTTTGGAGAACGACATCTGTGCAGTGGACTATAATTTATGCCTCTCTTCACTATGTTTGGGACTAAACGGAATTGTGATCGCAGGCACTCTGGAGAAAGCTTCACTAGAGAGTGACCAGCTAGAGCAAAATTTTTTCAATCTATTGCTCTCACAAATAAAGTCCCTGTAACAATAATCTGTGTAGTGGGGAGTATCTTGTAATTTTGTATTCATTTTGTGGAGTCAAAAATAACGAACAGTATTATATTAACTTTTATTCTCGGGTTAGAGAGAGAGAAATACCTTCCACTGGGGGTTACCAAAAATTTTCTGTTCAAAATATCTTAATAAAATGTATCAACGCTTGAATTTAATAAATATGTATTTAGTATCTATATATATATTTTTATTTTGGACACACTGTGGAGATAGTATGTATGTTTGTATATACCCATATGTATGTACATACGTTCACTTCCAAATTAACAAACAACAAAATTTTTTGCGGAGACGAGAGAGTGGCACGTAAATTTGTACGTATTTACGATTATATTTACGTTGTAATATTTTTATTCGCTAAAACTTTTATTTGCGATGTATTTTCATATGCTTGGGGTTGTTCTTTTGACGCATAAGGTATTGAGTTGTTATTTATGTGCATTCATTTGTACATACATATGTATGTATGCGGGAATGAAATTTTGAGTAGAATTCCTAATAGTGAAAAATCGTAATTTAAATTTGTAATACTCGTATTTACTTGTGTGCATGAGATCGGGAATGGCAGGTAGGGCGATGGCATAAACCAAAAGACTGACTGCAATTGAGCGCAAGAGAAATATTCTACATATGTTTACGCATGTATAAATATGTATGAGTGTGGGGTTGACATTAGCAATGCTTAGAGAGTGCAGTTGATAGTTACTGAACTGGCTTATGCTGGGATAGCAGAAGAATATGAGATCAATATAAACAAAAGTGAGCGGGAAGACTGTCTCAAAGCTTACATACTGGGGCAGGTCAAAGTTATATTTTTGGGGTTAATGACCGGCTTGGGATGTTAGCTCGGAAATCTAATGAGTGTAATGGGATTTGTTTTGCTATAGATATGTACGTATGTACATTAAAGTGGTCCAAAAATGTACATATATAAAAAAATAAGGTCGCATTTTTAAAGCCGCCAGCCCCTAGGATTGTTCTATACCAAAATAAAATATAACCAATTTTTTTTATTTTGAAAAAAAAGTACAAATTAGGTGTGCTCAAAGCGCTCAAAGTTTTCAATGTATTTTATATTTTTCGATCGGAAAGGTTTGCTTATCTTCAGGAGATTCCCGGTAATAATACCCAATTGTTCCTTTAACAATTTTTTCATGGTAGCTATATTTTATAGGTCCTAGAAAATGCAATGGGGGGACCAATAAAAAATCTTTAATCATAAAAAATGGTTAAATAAACAATTGGATATTAATATTTGAAGTCTCTTAAAAACAGACCCACGGTTTTACGATTGAAAAATATTGATTTTCAAGAGTTTTGTACCATTTTTACGAATTTTTTTTTTTCCCCCATATAAAATACATGGAAAACTTTGAGCTGTGAGCACTCCCTAAATATTTTTTGATTTCAAAATGAAAAAATAGGGGTATATTTATTTTCGGTTCAGAACAATTCTAGGGGGTGGCGGCATTAAAATTCCTACTTTATTATTTTTGACCACTCTAATGTACATGCATATATTTGATAAGCTTATAACGGGTGATTTTTTAAGAGCTTGATAACTTTTTTTTTAAAAAAAAAGTTATCAAGCTCTTAAAAAATCACCCGTTATATATAAAGGGTGTGGTTACTTATCGTATTGTTGTTTGGTGCTCCCTCTGCTTGTTGGTATCGATGATGTTATGCGATCTCTCTGCTGCTGATCTGCTATCCAGCTATTTCTTTATTAGATTTGTGTTATTCGTGTTGTTTTTTTTGGTGAAGAATTTCGTTTATATTTTGTTGTAAATTTATATTACTAATTTAGATGCTCCAAATATATTTCCAGTATACATTTTGGGAGTTTGTTTTTCTTTGATTTGAGGCATTTCATGTCACCGCGGCCACCTCTGTGCGCGACCTCTAAGGATTTGGATAAAAGTCGAAGAGATTGAAGGTCTAGGTGACATGAATATACGTGCAGCATGGAAGGGCCAAAACTTGATGGAATGATCGGTGGAGGGGTCCTTACGATGGAGCTCCCCATCAACCTCAAATTTGAGCTTTTGCACCACTGTAGTGTTCTTCAGGTAGAGGTTGCTGCTATTAAGGAAGCAGTCGATTGACTGCTACTGGAAGATTTGGCCGTAAGGAGGATTAGCATCTACTCAGATAGCCAGGTAGCAGTAAGAGCTTTGGACGCACTGACGGTACGCTCGAAGCATGCCTTAACTCACTTTCGACCGCGTCGTATTACTACCGTGTCAGACTTGCACGGGTGCCTGGTCATAGCGACATCGCGGGAAACCGTGAGCTGGGCAGAGGCGGCAACATGGAGACATTATCCTTAAGAAAAGGGAGAGTGGGTGCTCCCTTGACTACTTGAAGACTTCTCTTGAAGAGAGCCAACGCTTGGGGAAGGTTGTAATGGTCGATAGTGGGCCGGAGAGGCTTGCGAAGCCGGATCTCTTGATTCTTGTAGGTGTACCGTGTGGCCACTGTCCTATCGGGATTCATGAGCTAATATTAAATATCTTACCGTATCACTTTTGCCACAGCTGCTTGGAGGACAACGGGGTGGAGTCATCACAACACTGCCTTTTAGACTGCCTAGCTTTTGCCAGATTCCGGCTAAGGTACTTGGGTTCGTACTATCTGACTAGTCCGGAGGAGCTCTCCGGGATAAGCATCTGCCAGCTATGAAACTTCGTTCGCGGCATGCTGCGTTCTCGCCACAACTTAATGGTTACCATTCGCATCACAACGAAAACGATCGCGGTCTAAGTGAGTCCCTTGACAAGCGACCTTAACTTAACCTAACCATACTTTCAAAAAGGTGGAAACTATCTTCCAAAATTGTATCCACCTAAATATTTCGTTTAACACGCACATTTCCATAAATACCTTATTTAATTTATCGTATCACTAAAATTGAATTCAATGGTTTTAAGAGTTTTCTTTCCCACGAAAATGTTTTTCAATCTTTAAATTAATAAGTCTGAAAGCTGATTTCCGAACGCTTTATAAAATAATCAAACCAGTCAATAAAAGTATTAATATTCATTCCAAGTATTATGTTATTAGCAACATTTTACCCGCAACATGTTGCTCGCCATACAAATGTTGCTGGTTTTCATGAGAACGACTGCGAGAAGCCGAAAAATAAATGAAAAATCGCTCTCTACTACGATCGGCAATGGTCAACTCAAAAAATGAATAAAATTAAAAGTAACACAAACGATAAATACAAAAAAAAAATCTAAATAAACATTAATGAGAGGTTGGAGATAACAACACAACACGCAAACGAGCAAACAGCGACCAAAAGAAGACGCTGAAGCAACTACAAATGTGCTCTGATTGATCAATTCTCGCGATCAGCTACGTTGCCGGTGGGCCAATTCGCGCTTTGCCGTCGTCGTTGGTGTCGTCTCCATTTCGATTTGTACACTTTTTCTCACTCCTATTTTTTGCCTTGCGCTTTTCAGTGGAATTGATTTGATGGGTGATATAAAAGCGTACGATCGTTGCGAACGGCTAACCATAAGACGCCTGCAAGTCTAGCTGACTGGACACGAGCGACGAGAGTGGATATTGGATTTACATTGTCTGTCTTCGACGCATTGAAACGAGTCTTGGCGTAAAATTTGAAAGCATTTGCAAATTGGTGAAAACATTTGAGAAAATAAAATTAGAATTTTAATTAAAATTTTTTTAAATTGAAATTAAGGTGTAACAATAAAGCAAAAAAATTTAATAAAATTTAGTGCGGTAAATATTAAAAAGTCGAAGCAGCAAAAGAAAATTAAATAATATATACCTTTGTCTTTAAATGTGAAGAAAAAAGTTATACAGGACAAAGTGCAAGATTTTTGTAGTTCGGACTCAAAAAAAAAAAAGAAAAAAAAATTTAAGTGGTAACTCACTTAATAAAAAAAGCTCCGTAGAAGTGTACAAAGTCAGCAGCGTAGCAAGTGTGCAACAACGGGACGTGTGGTTAAAAGAGCAAAAGTGTTTTGCAACCAGTGGATTAAGCAACAAAATTTTAATTAAAAGAAAAGTTTTTGCAGTAACAAACTGACATATAATGGAAATAATGCCGCAAAGATACTTACTGCAAGCAGCTCTGGTGCTAGTATACTGCAGCGTAGCTTTGGCGTGTCGCGGACAACTGTTGGGTAAGCGAGAAAAAACTTAGTAAAGAAGAAAAAAGTGTTAAAAACTAGTAACCAATTATTAGGTTGTAAATCAAAAAAGGTATTTGTGGCTACCAACTGTTTTAAATTTTTATTTTCATGATCCAAAAATCTGAGTATAGCGGGAACATTTTTTTTTCTCAAATTTTTAAAATGCACCGTTTTTTGCCATATATTTGTTTTGTATGCTATTTTCAACGAAATTAGGCCAAAGTACCATAAATTTTCAAAATTTGGAGAAACAAAATTTGGNCATATATTTGTTTTGTATGCTATTTTCAACGAAATTAGGCCAAAGTACCAATAATTTTCAAAATTTGGAGAAACAAAATTTGGCCGCTATACTCAGATTTTTGGATCATGAAAACTTTTTTCCGTGAGAACATGAACTGATCTAGGAAATCATGAAAACTTTTTTCCGTGAGAACATGAATTGATGTAGGAAATCTGAGTATGAGGCATTATTCGCATAGCCAACAGCTATTAAAACTTGATATATGAGCACTCTAGGTTTTTTGTGTTCCACAGTGTTACCAAAGTATTGCAAATTTAAAAAAAATTTAATTTATAATCAAACAAGTATTTTTTTTTTTGCTGCAATTGTTTTGAGTGCATTAAGATATATATAAAAAAATTTTAGCAGATATACCTACACATATGTTTATGAAGAAAACAATTTCTTTTTTTCTTGTCTTTTATTACTGTGATTAAACAGAATTTAAATTAGATATTAAAACGTTCAGTTTAAAACGCTAGTTTTGCGTGTCGGCTATTTATGATTATTGAAATGTTTAAAATCAATTAGAAGCACAATTGAGCTCAACAAAAATAGGATTTTATGAGAAAACCTGAAACATTAAAATAAACCATATTCATAAATGAATTGCGTTAACATGCAAATAAAATTGTTTTATCTATTAAAAAAACCACACACACACACACAACTTTANAAATGAATTGCGTTAACATGCAAATAAAATTGTTTTATCTATTAAAAAAAACCACACACACACATAACTTTTTGTAGCTAAACATTTGCTAATATTAACCAGTGCCAAAAACGTACCATTTTTTGCTGCTATATGACACTTTTTAATTTAAAATTAAGCTCTCAATATACAGAACAGGTTTAAATTGAAGTGAGATCTAAAATATATGCCTTCGTTTGCCAACTTTTGAATATTTATTCCTTTGAGTGCTAATAATTAGCAACAAAAAGTAGTAGGGCGCAAATATCTTTTATGGTTTTGGCCTAAGTTAGCCTCTAATTTAAGCTGATGAATATGTATCTTCGCTTCGATCTTCTGCTCCATCCAGTGCCATTTGGTATTCTTTACGCCCAAGTAGTTGGAAGACTTGTTACCTTTTTTGATTTGCTCTTTTTCGACTTTTTTATTTCTTTTGCATAAATTAGCTTATTTTTATGTAGCTTTTGTCGAATACATATAACTGGGAGTGTTGACTTTTTCAATTTAGCTTTCATTTCGCTAACAAGTCGTATTCAATAATACATCTGGGCTCACAATCACAAGGCGATTAGATCGATTATTATGCTTGTGTGAAAAATAAATATATACATACATACCCAGTATACACACGNTTGATTTGCTCTTTTTCGACTTTTTTATTTCTTTTGCATAAATTAGCTTATTTTTATGTAGCTTTTGTCGAATACATATAACTGGGAGTGTTGACTTTTTCAATTTAGCTTTCATTTCGCTAACAAGTCGTATTCAATAATACATCTGGGCTCACAATCACAAGGCGATTAGATCGATTATTATGCTTGTGTGAAAAATAAATATATACAAACATACATAAATATATACATACACACACAGACAAATTAATCTGTTATTATGAAATAATCTCTACTTAAACCGATAAGCTTTCGCTGTCCAACCTATTTTTATCGACTATTTTTGCGAAGAAGAGAAATGTCAAATGCGAAAGTAAAAAGATATAGACGCTACCTAGGTTTTTAAAAGCATTTTTAATAAAACACTTAGTTAAAATATATTTTAATTGCTTGGCATAGTCGAAATTAAATAAAAGCTTGTAAAAGGTGATCACAATGGCACAGAGAAGAATGGATCTAAACCAGAAACTGGGGCTGGCTTTCAAGCGGAGATTCATTCAAGAAGAAAATTCATTAAAAGCGGCACATTCTCGAAATATATCTGCATTATGTCGGACAGCGGGCAGCCCTACTGGCATTGAAGTCCTACAAAATAAATTCTAATCCAGTATATGATTGCTTCAATGTCCTAAGCGCTCTTAAAGCCAAGAACACTGTCTTACGAGGATGGGTACTGGGATGTGAAGGAAATGAGAGCAATGAGGAGGCGGGTAGACGAATTGTACAATAGGCACTGAGTGGGATATCCAGTGTAGTCCTTCAAAGTAAGCTTCAAAGAAACTATGTACCTAATTTAGGCAAGGAGGACATCAAAATTCTTACTGGTTACTACAGCAGACACTGATCTCTTCGTTATCACTTTCGTTAACATTAACATTTCAGATACAGATGTTTGTCGCATTCGCCAGCTCGCCGAAGAAACGCCAGAACACATTCGAGCGGTATGCAATTTTAAGAAAAAGAAATTGCTTAATTTTTATTTATAAGGCTCATTCTCTGTGAATATAACGGTCTTGCTAGGCACAGACTAGCTCATTTTAATTCCTTTGAAGTTTTGAAAAAAATTCCCCTTAAAGCGAGTGCAGGGCAATATATATAAAGGCCTTGCTATATAGGGCGCTGGGTCATGTATAATATATCATAGCTTGAAAAAGTGGAATTCCTGAGTGTATTCGCAGTACTACATATGTATGTATGGTATATTTTTTAGGTCAAAAAACTATAAGCCGGTGACTGCGATAAAGTTCGGTTTCGACACAGTTTTCCAATAAAATAAAAGAGTTCCTGGTACTATGTGTAGCACTTGTATACGCCGAGACAATATTATATGTCTCACATAAGCAAAGGGAATCCAAATTTCTAACTTTTTTTTTACAAGAATTAGAAAAATTCAACAAAGTTGCATAACGACAGTTTTCTAGTTTGAAGTTTCTACAAAGTACAGCTGATTTTTGAATTTTTTTCTGCTGACGGCGTCACGCATTTTCTTCCGTACAAAGTTACTATATTCGACAATTTCTTTTATATGGAAGAGCACAATAGCACCGTTGCAAAAAATAAAAAATAAAAAAAATCAACACGAATTCTTAGGCTCCTTAAACTTACAACTTATTATTTAATGGGCAGAAAAACGGTATATTTAGAATTGCTCTAAAAATTATGAATAAAAAGTTTGTCGTGTATTTTTTTTAATTTTTCTACAAAGATTAAAATGTGAAATAATACGCTGTTAACTATTACATAACTAGCTAGGCTTTAATGAAAAATTAATGCACATTAAACAAACGAAAAAAAAAATTTCAACACTGCTCAAAATTTCGTGTCTCTATTTTTTCTAATTCTTTTTTCTAATTTAAATGAATGTTACTCTTTGTGACCAGAAGTGTAAATTTTTTTTATCTAAACCTAATCAAGTTAGAAGGACGAGATTCGACGATGTGGCAGTTTACACATTAGTCCTTAACATATATTTTTTTCAAAAATAAATATTGGAAATTTCCAAGGAAATTCAAAGATATAGTTTTAAAAGGACATTTTCAACATTTATTCGTCCTAGTGAAACAAAAGGTTATTTTTTTTTTTGTAAATTCTACAGAATTTTTCCTTTTAACTGAAACCCATATTGTTACTCTACAATGCACCAAATCTTAAAATTTTTTTTTTATTCAATCATATCCTGGAAATTTCAAAGTCCTTTAAAAAAATGCCGACGTCAGAGAGAAAAATTAAGAACGCAATTATACTATATTTGGCGCCTAGTTTTTTAAATATATGGATTTTTTCGTGTATTTTAAAAATTTTTGGTTTTTGTCACACGGTGTAATTTATACTATTTTTGTGATCCAAAAAAAAGTATTATTCCGTAAAAGAAATAAAGATGCCAGCGTTGTGTATACATAAAAGCTTTGTTGATACATACATATCGTCGTTTAAAGTACAAAACCGCGTATCGTCATTCTGCAAAGCCGCGTAACTGACATTGGCTGCCAAAAATTGAATTTGCTCACACAAGTTCTTGGCCCAATCCTTATCCATTCGTCCTGAAATATACTATCCTGATATGCAATTTCTTTATAAAAAAGAAAACCATTTTGAAATATGAGTGTTTTTACTCTCTAAAAAATAATTTATGCAATGTCACATACGTGGCTTTGCATTTTGCTGATACGCGGTTTTGCATTTTGTTGATACGCGGTTTTGCACTTTAAACGACGATATGTATGTACATACTTACGTATGTATATTTAGCGTACATTTCTTCGCCTCAGGAATTCAGTAGATATACAAGGTCAACAGTGGATTAGCGGACCCAACACACATAATTCATTAATTTTAAATCGATCAGAAAAAAATTCACATGCGCTTCTAGATTCTTTTTTGGCTCATTTTTTTACCATAAAAAGAACTTATTTTATATGTCACTGTGGCATATTCGCCACTTCGAATTCGATCGCAGCTAAAAGCAAAACCCAAAAACATTAATATTCTTTACCCACACTTGGGGCGCAAATATCAAATTGATTTGGGTTTGGATCAATTCATTCGGCTAAATACTTATCAGATTACTTGCGATTTCTAGCAGCAGATGTGCTCGTATTTGGTATAGCTTTATTTTTTGTCTGCTCAGCATTCAGAAACGCTACTTGATGGATTTAAGTTCATCAATTCTAATATGTTTGAATTCAACATTCATCACGTTTTAGCAGTGTGGCATGCTTCTGTTGCATATCAATTAATTTCTAGGAGAATGAAGTTCTTAAAAGCTAATATTTAACAAAGGTAAGAATTTAATTAATAAAGCACAGCTTGTAAATGTATTCTTTTGTGCCACATAGGCATTCGA